ACTAAATAGAAGAACAGAACACAACACAAGAATCATTACTAACCACAAAACTGCGGCAAATCACTACAACAAACTCCTATCACGGATAACTGCAATTTGTGAATGCTTTCCTCCCGTGGTGAACGATCAGCACTGCGCACCAACGGAGGAAGCGGCAGAAACGTCACCTGGAGTCAATGGAAGAGTGGGCTGAGTTGCCGTGCATGGCTCCTTCCTGCAAGTTAAGGAGCGTCCACGGCAGCAGCGTGCGTTGACCGCTTGGCGGGTGGCGTGGTCCTGAAGCTTGGGGGATCACGGAGAACGCAGACCAACACAAGCACATGAATCTCCCGCCCCCGACATAAAGAAAATGCTAGCATTCCTGTGCTATTAATACTGTCCTTTGCCTGCATAACTGTCCATTCAATGTTTACGAGGTACAACTGGATATACTCCGCCTAAACAGGCGAACCTACCATTTCACCCACTTCTCTGCACCTTCTCATGCTGGCTCCTCGGTTTTGTATCACGGTAGAATGAACAGAGACTGATCATACAGCAACGCAGGTGATTCACATACCGCAGCATAACGCGGTTTTGATTGGCTAGCAGTGTTACTGGGCCAGATTTTTCAATAAACGGGATTTGATTGCTGACGCTTTCCGTGAGCAACGGCGTTAGCTACGCTCCCACCCAATGCAGTTCAGCGAAGCGTGAGTCACCCCATTCAAAGTGAAATGGGCAGAAGCGTTGAAGCTTCAACGCACGCCGCTGTGTGGACCGCGCGTAACGGGGGAGACGCGCTCTGGCGGCGGTCTCGTTCAGGATTCCGAAATACAATTTAAATATTTTGCATACTTACTTATTCCATTTATTCCGCCTAGTTGTGGCCACTAGTTACGGTGCTGCGTGGCCAATGCTGCTGGCACGCGTGCCAGGGGTTACCAATGCCCCTGGGGTTAGAGTTTTGCGTGGAGGACCGCAACGTTTTCTCGTCCCAGTTACGTATTTTAATAATCGGCAAACATTGCGGTAGACAACTGCGGTACACAATTTTTTGAGCGTATATCCCTTTATAAATGCCCGCAGAAAATGTCAGTATAGGGCCGTAAACACAGAGCCGTTTGGCCCCCCCCAAAAGCGTGCGTTTGCAAGATCTATCCACTTGGACCCGTTAATCCGTTTGCGGGGTCCATTTCTAATCGTTTTTGCTACCGGGCCTCGTTTAAACGAAAGGGCCTATACGCAAGAGAAACCTAATGCGGATACAACCCGTATCGTCCTTAGTGTAAACGGGTGTCTAAAGTCCCCTGCCAGTATATCGATTTGATTGGATTGTGAGCAGCTATGGTGTAGTGGGGATTTTTTTACTGGGTGGACGGGGTGGTGGGTGGACAGGAGACACTATGGACGCGCTCGTGAACTGTCAACGGGAGGGGCGGGGAACCTCTGTATCGCCTGTCAGCGCAACTTACATGATGCAGTTTAGACAATATAATAATAAAGGGCGGTGCCGGCTGTCAGCGAACCGATCCGGCCTTTCTGCGCGACTATCACTCAAATGGGGACATAGTCTCAATTTGTGGGACGCGGGACAAATAATAAAAATGCTGTGTGTGCAGTCCCGCACAGTGCAGGACACCTGGTCACCCTACACACACACGGTGCTGCCCCTCACACACACACGCTTCAAATCAAGTTGCATAAATGCTTGAGCTACGTTTTTATTATAAATACTGTGAAATCTGCCTATTATGTTTTCGTCATTATTACAACAAACACACACTTGCAACTGATAACACTGGCAATGATTTTAGATTTATTAGACTATTCAAAAAAGAAATCATGCTTCAAATAAGTGGGGGTACGGCGTACCCCCGCGTCCAACGCCTACTACACCACTGGTTATTAATTAAACAAATGGTGAGAAATATATCTAAAAATATGTTGCATACTTCAATAAAATAGGTGATTCATTATAAAAACTTGCAACAACAGCAGTATAGTCATTTCAGATGTGTGTTACTGCAGAACTTCAAACAAGAAATGAATAAAGAGTGTACCTGCTCCGAGCTGAGCCGCCTCCTCCAGCTCTTTCTGAGTCTTGGCCGATGCAATGGCCTCTGGGAGTTTGAGTTTGAAAGGCAGGACATCCCTAAGTGAAGATGAACAGCCAATAATGTTATAGAAAATAAACATTAAATCAAATCAAATCAAAGTTTATTTATATATTCTTATTCCACAGGCAATAAGACTGTTAAACACCTGAACTAAGAACATCCATAACATTCATCTGTTTGCAACTTACACATTGTGTATCACTTGTATATAGACTCTGGCACTACTTCTATTCTATTTTATTGTATTTACTTGCACTATTCTATCTGTTTTATTGTGTTGCACTGTTGGAGGAGCCTGGGACCTAAGATTTTCATCAACATAACTACACTGTAGCTATGTACGAATGACAATAAAAGCCTTGAATCCTTGAAAAAAAAAGGAGGGAAACTAAAGACATGAAGGCGAACACAGGAAGTAGGACCAGACAGAACACGAGGAGGAAAACTTTTCAAAATAAAGGTGGAAAATGGCAACATAAACCCAAACCCAAAACCATGACACAGAGAGCATGGAGGTAGTCAATTGTGTTGACAACTACCTCCATGCATATGTCTCACCTGGTATATCGCATTATGTGCATTTTGTGCTGTGTTATTTGTAACGGGAGCAATTTCGGGTTAGAAAATGTTCCTTGCCATAACGTCCCATTTTATAGTATAATGGCGTTATGGAGAAGATCCATCATGTCCTCCCTGCCAAACACAGCCAAATACGGCATATCCTGTCTGGCCGTGAAACAAGGCTTTCCCAAGGCTAATATACTGGAGGCACTACCATGTACTCCGCCAATTGGCAATCATTCTGGAAGGAAGGAGAACTGCCTCCATTGCCCTCTCTTCACCATCATCTGGATGCTCAAACACCATCGCCTGTGTGACAGGAGGACATAGGAGATGCAGCCCAGGACTAGAAAATGCAGGTTGACCTGGACCAGACGCTCACCTTTCCACAGGAGATCATTACAACTGATCTCAGGCCAGATCTCATCATGTGGTCACCCTCAAAAAGGTGCCTTTATATTGTCGAATTAACTGTGCAATGGGATGCTGCAGGTGATGAAGCATACGACCGCAAATGGTTGAAGAACCCAGGTATTGCAGCCGGTCTGGAAAGGGTGCCCCCTGAATAGGCCCGCTGCTGAGGCTTTGTAGCCACATCTACCACAAGGAATGCTAAAAGGGCTGGGGGTTAAGGCCCAGATACACCGGCCAGTCCCCTGAGAAGTCGCCGACGCCAACACCGACTGTTGCGTCGCCGGACTCTCCTGCGTATTTGCCGACTTCGCGCACTGGAACACACCGCAAATCCGAGCCGAGCACGTATGAACTGCGTATGCGTGAGTGGCAATAACTCTCCTTACCAGCAGGCGGCGGTAGTGTGTATTCATCATTCAAAAGAGGCAACAACCGGAAGACAGAGAAGAAGAACAGACTCCGTGATATAAACAAACAACAAATAGCGTTTTTCTTTCCATTTTCACTCTCGTCCATTGAAAACATGAACGAACAGGAGCTCTATAAACCGATGAGGTGAAATAGCCGTCCGTGTGTGTTCCATCTTCCATTTTAAATCATTTGTTTACCTCCCTCACTTCCGTTAACGCTTCTCATGCACTGATTCGCTAGCTGAACAGCCGATTGGCTGTTCAGCTAGCGAATCAGTGCATGAGAAGCGTTAACGGAAGTGAGGGAGGTAAACAAATGATTTAAAATGGAAGATGGAACACACACGGACGGCTANCCCCTTAAACTTCCTTTAGCTTTGACCTCGCTAAAATATGCTAATCCAAAACACACAGAGACATCCTGGTAAACTGAATCCAATCCTTTCGTTTCAGCTCCATCCAAAGGCTGATATGTGACAAAA